TTGAGATGTACCTGTACATCTCAGTTGTTCTACAAAACCTATGAATAAAAGTCTTGAGATTTGACTTGAGACTTGAGTTTACCTGAGTACTGTCTGTCCGTTGTCTTTTTCCTCCGTGTTGTGACAAATAAATTAAATCCCATCCCATAATACCTTAATACATATTTTAAAACCAAAAAAGTACATTTTAAGAGTTCGTATTCATGCTCAGAATACAAATATGCAATGTTTTATGATTTATTAGTAGGCCTTAGCGTTTTATTTAAACTTTTGGAAAGTTTAGGGGCCAACCTTGCCACCGCAAATGACCCATTTGCAAGATTGATTGTTTGTTCATTTATTTGTTTGTTTAACAATTTAGTTGTAAGTTTTCAAGTGATGAAGATGATGAATATTATGGTAGGGCACTAACCCACCTGCCCCTATTCGTAGTTTTCAGTCACGTGACTGGCTCAAAGACCTGGCGGGCAAAACTTCCATAGAACTGCAGCACAAGCCTGTCAATTTTCTATCTGTTCCAATCCAAAAATATTTAGATAATCTCTCAAAAGAATAAAACAAAGATATGTGAACAAAATGCAAGTTTTGGCCATTAGCAATCCATATAAACAATATTTCAATCACTAAAAACAGCGGGACATTCTAAAACGTTTAATGTAAAAACACTAAAAGTGCCTTTAAAACAATGATATTAAAAGATCAAATTCAGTACACATCTTATTGATGATGCGTGCTTTATACAGGCAAGCAAATGAGCCTGGAACATGAACGCAGTGCACTAAATGGTTGTGTTTTCTTTATAATGGTTTTCTATGGGAAAACATTTAATATTAAACTTTGCGCATTGCGTTTATATTCAGGGCTCATCTGCTTGCCTCATGTATGCATCATCAATAAGATGTATACTGAATTTGGCATTTAAATATCACTGTCTTCCTACATTACTACTTAATGCAAAAATAACTGGCGGTCAGGGTGCCCTAATTTGCTGGCCAAATGGGTGCCCTAAGCAGAATTGTATTGTTTTGCCCCCTCCCCCAAATATTATGGGCAAAAAAACAAAAAAAAAACTACTATAGGGGTCAAAATAGAACTTTAATAAAAACACAAAAGTAAATAAATTGTAATTAAATTGTATTATTTACAAATTACAATTGTAGCTCTACAACAACAACAAAATTACACACATTAAATAAAAAATTTCAAATGATTAAATATCAAAATAAGCAATACTAAATTGAAACAAAAATCAATGGCAGCGGCTATTTGCACTAAGTGAAAATAGCATATTTTCTTAGCAATAGATGCTATTTACGCTAAGTGACATTTTTTTTGTTTTTGTTTTTTTTCCGGGCATAGTTGTCCATCAATTATGATCATTTGCAGTAAGCTGCGAGACTCAGGTAGCTGCAGAGCTGTGCTCCATCGCTTCCTTGTTTGGAAGTGTAACGGACGGCTCCATGGGTGTGGATCTATAAATCTAGCGGATCACAGCAGTACGACCAGAGTGGAACGGTCCTCTACTTAAACTCAGCTCACATACAACAGGAAACATGAACAAAATCTTTCTCGGAATCTTTGCAGTTGACTTGTCCACGCCCTCCTAAAACGCCTCGTTTAAACACACCCCCACGTCTACGTCACTGTGTGGGAAGATTTACATAACACCGGCCAAATGTTCACGCAAAGAATGAAGGCGTAACTTTTATTCTCGCTGTAGTATTGTCGCCGCCATGTTTTGTAGATGCTGTGTTTTTTATTGTGAAAGCGAAACTACTTTGTTTGGCCTTCCAAAAGAGAACGATATCCGTTTCGTCATGCCTAGAGCTGATCGGTGCTGGTCGCTGAGGAAATACATCAACTTCACGCTGTGGATCACCGGATCGGCTTTCACCGTGGACGAAGCGGAGTCCAGCCCGTGGTCGTCACATGTGGTTGCCGCAAGCCCGCCGGCCGCGCCGTTCTCAAGGCCGCCAGCCGCCGCTCACTCAAGCCCGCCGTGTGTGATGCATTTTATGTGGCGACTGTTTCCTGAACCTCCAGAGTAGCATACAATGGGTCTGTGCTCAAAGGCTGTTCTATAAAGTGGGGCAGTTAGAGTCAAAAAAAATTTTTGTATGCCATGACTTAAGTTCCTGAATGCATGCATACAGATCTCCTAGTGCATTTTTATCATTTGGTTTAAAGGGGAGGTACAACTGAACATCATCTACGTATAAATGAAAATAAATTCCATATTTCTGAAAAATCAAACCTAAAGGCAGTATATATAACATAAACAGAGTTGGAGCAAGAATGGAGCCCTGAGGAACACCACAAGACAGAGGAGTGGTGGAGGAAGTATTTTGTCCAATGCGTACATAGATCTTACGGTTAGTTAAAAAAGGCCGAAACCATTGAAGAGTAGTGCCTCGCAGGCCAATATAATTGTTTAAGCGTGAGATGAGTACATTGTGATCAACTAGGTCAAAGGCTGAGCTGAGATCTAGTAAGATCAAAGCAACAGCATTTCCAGAATCTGTGGTCAATAAGATGTCATTAAAAACTTTTAAAAGAGCAGATTCTGTACTAAGTAATTTCCTGAACCCAGATTGAAAAGTTTCATTAATATTGTTAGAACTCAGGAAAGCTTGTAACTGAGTTAACACTGCTTTTTCCAGAATTTTAGTCATAAAAGGTAAATTAGAGATTGGTCTAAAGTTGGACAAAATAGATGTATCTGAATTTGATGTCTTTAAAATTGGAGTAATTGTTGCATATTTTAAACTATCAGGAACCATTCCGGTGCTCAAACTCATGTTTATAAAGGAACATACATCTGTACAGACAGTATTTATGACTTGTTTTAGAAAATGAGCAGGCATAACATCATGAGGACAAACTGTGGGTCTTAAATGTTCAATGACCTTTTTACAGGTAGGGAGAGTAACAAGGTCAAATGATGACCAAATAGCAGTACTCCATGGTGTCTCATTGATGTCAGAATCAAATTGCATATGTGGTCTCAACCCATCTACTTTCTCAAGAAAGAAAGTAAAACAAATTCTGCATAAAGCCTCAGTCACATCAGTAAAAACATTTACATTGTTTATATAAACAGATTTGGCAGACTTGACTGCTTTTTGAAATGTTGAGAGAGAATCCCTCATGAGTTCATAGGAAACCTGCAACCTATCCTTGCGCCATTTGCGTTCATATCTCCTACAAATTTTTCTGAGCAAACGAATCGAGTCATTCAGCCATGGTTCAGCTTCTGGTTCGAATCGAGTCATTCAGCATGGTCCTTCCACTGAATTTTGGGTTTTCATTATCTGTAAGCCATAATCATCAAAATTTCAAGAAATAAAGGCTTGAAATATTTCACTCTGTGTAATGAATCTATATAATATATGGGTTTCATTTTCTGAAATGAGTGACAAAAAATATTGACCTTTTTCATGATATTCTAATTTTTTGAGATGTACCTGTACATCTCAGTTGTTCTACAAAACCTATGAATAAAAGTCTTGAGATTTGACTTGAGACTTGAGTTTACCTGAGTACTGTCTGTCCGTTGTCTTTTTCCTCCGTGTTGTGACAAATAAATTAAATCCCATCCCATAATACCTTAATACATATTTTAAAACCAAAAAAGTACATTTTAAGAGTTCGTATTCATGCTCAGAATACAAATATGCAATGTTTTATGATTTATTAGTAGGCCTTAGCGTTTTATTTAAACTTTTGGAAAGTTTAGGGGCCAACCTTGCCACCGCAAATGACCCATTTGCAAGATTGATTGTTTGTTCATTTATTTGTTTGTTTAACAATTTAGTTGTAAGTTTTCAAGTGATGAAGATGATGAATATTATGGTAGGGCACTAACCCACCTGCCCCTATTCGTAGTTTTCAGTCACGTGACTGGCTCAAAGACCTGGCGGGCAAAACTTCCATAGAACTGCAGCACAAGCCTGTCAATTTTCTATCTGTTCCAATCCAAAAATATTTAGATAATCTCTCAAAAGAATAAAACAAAGATATGTGAACAAAATGCAAGTTTTGGCCATTAGCAATCCATATAAACAATATTTCAATCACTAAAAACAGCGGGACATTCTAAAACGTTTAATGTAAAAACACTAAAAGTGCCTTTAAAACAATGATATTAAAAGATCAAATTCAGTACACATCTTATTGATGATGCGTGCTTTATACAGGCAAGCAAATGAGCCTGGAACATGAACGCAGTGCACTAAATGGTTGTGTTTTCTTTATAATGGTTTTCTATGGGAAAACATTTAATATTAAACTTTGCGCATTGCGTTTATATTCAGGGCTCATCTGCTTGCCTCATGTATGCATCATCAATAAGATGTATACTGAATTTGGCATTTAAATATCACTGTCTTCCTACATTACTACTTAATGCAAAAATAACTGGCGGTCAGGGTGCCCTAATTTGCTGGCCAAATGGGTGCCCTAAGCAGAATTGTATTGTTTTGCCCCCTCCCCCAAATATTATGGGCAAAAAAACAAAAAAAAAACTACTATAGGGGTCAAAATAGAACTTTAATAAAAACACAAAAGTAAATAAATTGTAATTAAATTGTATTATTTACAAATTACAATTGTAGCTCTACAACAACAACAAAATTACACACATTAAATAAAAAATTTCAAATGATTAAATATCAAAATAAGCAATACTAAATTGAAACAAAAATCAATGGCAGCGGCTATTTGCACTAAGTGAAAATAGCATATTTTCTTAGCAATAGATGCTATTTACGCTAAGTGACATTTTTTTTGTTTTTGTTTTTTTTCCGGGCATAGTTGTCCATCAATTATGATCATTTGCAGTAAGCTGCGAGACTCAGGTAGCTGCAGAGCTGTGCTCCATCGCTTCCTTGTTTGGAAGTGTAACGGACGGCTCCATGGGTGTGGATCTATAAATCTAGCGGATCACAGCAGTACGACCAGAGTGGAACGGTCCTCTACTTAAACTCAGCTCACATACAACAGGAAACATGAACAAAATCTTTCTCGGAATCTTTGCAGTTGACTTGTCCACGCCCTCCTAAAACGCCTCGTTTAAACACACCCCCACGTCTACGTCACTGTGTGGGAAGATTTACATAACACCGGCCAAATGTTCACGCAAAGAATGAAGGCGTAACTTTTATTCTCGCTGTAGTATTGTCGCCGCCATGTTTTGTAGATGCTGTGTTTTTTATTGTGAAAGCGAAACTACTTTGTTTGGCCTTCCAAAAGAGAACGATATCCGAAATCAGTGGTTAAGTTGTATTTACAACACTGTTCCAGAACAGTTCAAACCAAATGATGTGTGCAGCGCAT